CTCTGCCAGGTGAACCCCTAGTCATTCTCCACAGCCCCACTCAATTGTCACCTCCTCTGTGAAGCCTTTCTTGAATTTCATCAAGCAGAAATTCAACTCCATAGCACTTTATATAGACCTTTACTAGTGTAATTCCCCAACTAGACTATGAGTGAGGACACAGACTACATCTTATTCATCTTTGTGTTCCTGGAGTATAAAACATAGTAGACACTCAATAAATATTCACTGAATGGATTAATGAATGATGAGGCTTGTGTTACCCACAGTTGTACTGCAATGCCACAACAGTGTCCTGAGCTGGTAGTTTTCATTCAGTAAATGTTTGTTCAGTAGCTATAACCTGATACCATTATTTAATCAGCCACAAGTGTGACTATCACCACCCATCATCCTCTCTGAGGGGCCCGAATAAGTAGGCCACTGAGAGAGCTATATCTGAATACCCAGATGCCAGGTATGTGACCCAGATTCATGCCCAGGTCATCAAGAGATTCTGGACCCACAAATAATGTGTCATGGAGACATAGGTCCCCTCTTGTCCTACATAGATCATGCATATAGAATCATGATCTCCTGGGATAGAGCTAGAATCCAAAGTGTTTAACCATGGGTTTGACGTGGAGGTTGATCAATCCCACCCCCCGCCCCCCGCCAGACACAAGCTGCAAGGAAGCTGTATCAAACTGCCTCTTGAGTTGCTTGGTTGTGTTGCTAGTTGTGGAAGGTCCCAAGGGAGAACTGGGGTGCTGATGTACAGGTGTCAGGGCGGGGAACACTTCAAGGAGGACTCCCAGCAGCTCTTCTTTATCAACTGGGACAGAATATTTTCAATATCTGAACAGTGAACATGATCCTATCAGAGGATGTTGGCTGTGTGCCAGCTTTGCCTTGGGATGGCACCCATCTGCCTCCCCATCTTTAATTGTTTCCAATAGAACTTGAACTATTATAAGAAAAAAAAGAGAAAAGTCTAAGCTGCAGCTGTAAGGACTGAAGCTAGACATAGGAAGGACTTTCCTTACAGCTGAGAGTCACTGAAAGGAAGCTAGGAGGAAGCAAGACTCCTCTGGTCTCCGGAGAGAGATCTGTTTGGCCTGGGTCTTGGGTTGTGTGTTGGAGATCAAGGGATGAGGGAGTGACTTCTGGGGGTACTTACTGGCCTGAGAAAGAGCTGCTGTGGGTGCTGGGGGATAAACCTGATATCCTACACACATGTGCTGGCCTGTCCAGAGAAACACAGCTGCCATGTGTTTGGGGTGCCCTGCATGAAAGAAAGGAGGACAAAGGGCACCCAGGGCCCCCTTTAAGAGAGATGAATACTGTCCCTGCTGGGCACCCCCATGTACACCTAACTCCCCTCACACACTGACAACAAACCTGGCCAAGAAAGAGGCCTTTGTCCTAGAACATCTGAGGCTGCTGGGGGAGGGGAGAAGGCTACAGGTGGGAGGACACATCAAAGCAGCAACTGCCCCTCCTCCCCAAAATAGCTCCCCTACCGCTCTCCCAGAACCCAGGCTTTCCTTTAGTAGAAGCAATGCCCTAAATGCCCACCTACCTAAACAATTGGGACACTAGACATTTGGTCCTTATCTTCAACTGCCATCCACCTTGCTATGACTTGGTTTCCCTGTCCCTAAGAGAGTCAAGGGGACAGAAGGAAGGAGGTTAGACTTGTATAAAGTTTAGAGGTCACCTTGGAGTGGGCCACCAGGTTGGAATTTATATGCATAGGAGAAACGCAGACCTGGCCAGACTCCTGGGCTCAAAAGGAGGGCTGGGAGGCGCTGGAAGCCATGTGTGCCCCCGCTGGCTGGGAACAAGGTGGGGGCGGGGTGTGGGCAGAAACCACACCAGGCTCAAGTTTCCTCTCTTGGCCAGAAGGGGCAGGAGGAGAGGAGGGCCACGGGGAAAGGGGAGGGTTGGAGGAAGGACGGAGAACTCAGGCCGAGGTCTTCAGAGAGGAGGCTGGTGCGCCACCCGGCGCTCCCCGTGCTCAGGCCGAGCCTCCACTCTCAGCGCTCAGTAATGGCCCGGGGGCGGGGCGCAGCCCTCCCCCGTTTTCAGAGGTAGCAGGGATCCTCACCCAGGAGGTGTCAGCGCAGGCCCAGCCTCCCCAGAGACAGCACCGGGAGCCACATCTCTCTCCTCACCCAGCTCGGACCCTGCCACAGGTGCCTGAGGGGCGGGGTGGGTGGGCGATTCCAGTGGGATCCAAGGGGCAAGCTGGGGAGGTGGAGGTGGCAGACAGAGAAAATCACCAACTTTCTGCACATCCCTAGGAGATCTCGGGCCCTCCCGGGCTGCCCCTGGTTTAGGAATCTGACATCTTTGGGAATTCATCTGGGAGAAGACCTAGATGGCTCATTGAGCACTCTGAGATTCTTGGGGTGAGAGGCTGTAGATGCGGACCAGACAGTGGTCCTCGGAGGCACCTTTGAGCAGCCGGGGGTGACCCTGAGTAACCCTTCAGCAGGGGACTGCTCCCGGGGAGCCGATAGACTCTTAGGTGTATGGTACCAGCCTTTCCCCTACTCTATTCCATCATGCTGCTCTGTCTGGCCAGCTGGGAGGTTTTGGGGGAAGGTGAGGAACTGGAGACACTGGATGCCTGGATGGGTGGGGAGCACGGCAGAAGGATAGGGTGGTGGGCGCAGGGCTGTTGTGCTCTCGCCTCCTTTGCCCCCTTGTCATCTCCGGGCCTGGGCAGTCGAGCTCAGCTAGAACTGGCTGGGAGAGGAGGGCGTCCTACCCCAGTGCAGTTCCACGGACCAGAAATCTTAGCAGCTTGGGAAGTAGGAGGCTGGGTAGCAGTGGAAGAGAAGAGGAGAGGTAACAGATCTGCTGGGGCTGGGATTCTCTAGTCATTGGCCCCCAGATGACTGGAGTTTGGTTTCTAGGGACCGAATGAGGATAACACAAACGTGTTCCTTTCTCCCTTGTTCCCATACACCTGTTTGAGTCATGTATACCCTCAGGAGACTAAATCTCACTCTGATTAACTCTCTCTCTCGCTTCCCTTTTCCTCCATTCTCTTTCTCTATTTCACTTCTATGTGTCTCTCCCTCTTTGGGGTTGGTCCTAATATTTCTGAATAACCTGCTTACCTGCCACTCCACACCCCAGGCTTCGTGGATCCCTGCCCATCCTTTCCCTGCTATTGTTGATAGCTGGAGAGGTGGGGTGGTCTAATCAATCTCTGAACAGGATCCCAGAGGCAAGCACCCTCTATCTTTCTCCCTGTCAAGGCATCCCTCCACAAATGGTCCTCATTTTGAATCTTTAAATATAAAGCTCTATATCATTCTGTGAGTACTCAGAGACTGTAATAAGAGCTTTCTGGGTAGGACCATCAGGATCAGAGTCAGGAGGATGGATTATAGTCCCTGGAGATGGCTCCAGTCCTACCTGGTACTTTTTGGTAGGGAGGAAGATGGCTGTGTGACCCCAAAGTGCAGGTTAAACTGGAAAGTGGGAACTGTATGTTGTAAAGCAAAAGGGACACAGGGAGGCCCACTCTACTTTCCCAGGATCTGTTGTTTCTGCATCTTCTGTGATGTTCTGTTTGACTCAATTCTGACTACACCCTCCTCCCTGCTCTATACCACTAGTGGCCAGCCCCAGGCCCCCAGGCCCATCCTAGAAAGGTAGGCTCCTAAGACCCAGAGGGGCCTATGCCTGGTGTATAGACCACCAACAACCACTGAGTATCTAGGGAAAAACATACTACTCCCCTTTGGCCCGATGCAAACTTGCCACTGCTCCAGAGAGGTGGTTGGAGCTGATCCAGAGAGTCTCATCAACTCCCTCTTCTCCAGCCTCTTGCCTCCCCCGCAGGGACCCTTCTGGATTCTCATTTCCCTGTCCCAAAGGTGCATGAGAAGGGGCTGATATCTGCCAGGGCAGCTTAGAACCCAGCCTTGCCTGGGTCTGAAGCTAGGAGAAGTCTGGAGGTCGTTTGCCAGGCTCTTTTCTGGCTTTGTGTTCTTTCCTGTAAATACATATGGTTGGGCTAGTTCAGCGTTTTTCAAGGTGGAGTGGGTCTCTGGCATCAGAAACACAAGGGCGCTTGTTAAAATGCTGCTTGCTGGGTTCCTGCACCTATGAATTTAATTCAGTAGGTCTGGGACGACTCGCAGGAGCCCGTGTTTTTACAAGTACAACAGGTGACTGCAGTGCACAATCAAGTTGGTGACTGCCTCTCGCAGTCCTGTCTCCATTTAATGGAAGAGACTGAATGGGGAAGTGATTTGCCCAAAGTCTCGCATTTGGAAAGCCAGAGAACCTGGTCTCCTGCCTCCTAAGGCAGGATCTTTGTACTGCACCTAAGAGTCAGATCCAGGAAGATGCAAGGAGGGACAAAGTTGGGGGGGGTGCAGTGTGGTGTGAAGGACTATGAGGCAAGAGTCATTGTCCCTGCCCCCAACCCCCTTCTCCATTCACTTTGCCTTTGGGCAATTTCCTCCAGAACCTGGGTGGGGGAGGGTGGGGTTCCGGTGTTGAAATGGCATCCTGGACAGACATAAACACCCCACCCACTTTGCCCACTGGCCAAGCTCCTGTGCCTACACCAGCTCCCAGCCCTGGGGATGGCAGTATAACAAAAGGGTGGGGGCAAGGGCTAAGGGAGATCCTCCTTCCAAAGGATAATTTGGAGTTCTTACTAATTTGGGGTTAAGTCAAAGAGTAGATTTCATATTGGATAACTGTGACAGGCCATCCTTGTGGTGATCTAAGGTCATGCAATTTGAGGTCATCCCGTCCTATCCTCTGTCCTTTTATAAGTTTCTCCCACCCCCAGCCTGCCTGCCTTTACTTATATGGTAGGGGTGGGGTACTGTGTCTGGCCCTAAGACATTGGGAAGCCCCTGTGAAATCTGCTTGGCATCTCTTGTTGAAGGCTGGGCGAACAGGTGCAGGGAGATGGGTGTCAGGGGATAGGGAGGCAGGATGAGGAGAAGGGCAGATAGAGAGAAGATGAAGGCGGGGGGTGGGGGGAGGGTTTGCTGAGAACAGTAAGCTGCCCAAGCAGAAAGGGACCTCTGAGTTCGACTTATCCAACTCCTTGGTTTTATAAATGAGGAAACAGAAGCTCAGAGCAGCGCGATGGCTTGCCCAACCTCACACTGCTGCTTTGTGGCTGACTGGCAGCTAGAGCCCAGATCAAAAAAAGGTGGGGGGCGGGCGCTAAAGGAGACTGTTTTTAAGGCTCTAAAGAGACATTCCCCCAGAAGAAAAGAGACAGATACCACAGACAGAATTGACTGAGGTAAACCACCAATAGATGCTTAGAGTATGGAGACACAAGAGTGGGTTGGAAAGGCGTCTGAGAGGCCAGTACAGGCTAGCAGAGTCAGCTAGCATAGGTTCCAGACCTGCGCCTGCTATCTATCAACTTGGGTCTCAATTTCTGAATGGACCTTATAGGATCTTTGTGAAAATCAGTCTCAAACTAATGCTTGTAAAACATCAGCACAGTTCTTGACAGTGCTTAATAAGTCTTTGCTATGATTGTTATATTACCTTAGGAACCCTGGAAGCCTGGCTGTGTGGGTTGGGGTATGGCCAAGATGACCCTGCAGGGACGTAGGACAGAGGTCCAGTGTCTCCAGAGACCATTCCTCCTCTGCTGCCTCCAGCTGATAAACCTCTTATCAGGCCCAAGCAGGGGAGCCCAGAGTCAGGATAGGAGGAGAAGGCAGGGCTGCTATCAGCCACCAGGCCTGGGCCATATCTCAGAGAAGGGGAGGGGCTGTCTGCTTGGCTCTTCCCACAACATGCTCCTTGGGGATCCCCAAGCACTCATTCTCAACCTTGGAAGATGAGACAGAGGAGGAAAACTGAGGACAGAGGAGGAAAGCAGGAGTGATCCCTGATGTTGCCCCAGAAAATGGGGAAAAAAAACCCCAGAAGATGTGACTTCTGCCCTGGCCAGTGATACAGTTTTGGGGAGTAAGAAGAAGGGGAAGGGGAAGGCATCTCATCTGAAAAAGAAGGTAAAGACCCACTGTGCTCCCAAAGGACCTGACCACAGCCATAGCAGGTGAGGTGGATATCACATTGCAGAGAAAGCTTTTGTAGCTTAAGGAGTCGGTTGATGAGGACAACATAATTCAGGGGATGAGGCCTCTCCTTCTCTCAGGTGAGGCTGCAGGGAACTCTCCATGGAGGCAGGACAAAGTTGCTGGCCCCGAGCAGGAGAAGCCTTAACCTATATCTCCTGGTTTTATTATTATTATTATTATTAATCATTATTATTATTATTTTTAATCTGTTTCTCCTTTGACATAGGCTTCTGGGGCCTTTTGTGCTCTGGGGACCCTGGACCAGGCCCTGGCCCAGTAGGATGCCCCCGTGTCCTCCCCAGCAGAGCAGGAACAGGGTGACACAGTTGCCCACTCCGGAGCTGGGCGAGATGGAGCTGACTTGGCAAGAGATTATGTCCATCACTGAGCTGCAGGTGAGCAGATTTGGGGGGACCTGGGGAAGGAAAGAGCAGAAAAGCAGGGAGTCTGGCTGGGACTGAGGCAGGGGCTGGAGCAAGCAGGGAATGTTCCAGGCACTGGAAAAGGAAGGGCTGGAGTAGGAGGGAGATCTGGATGGAAGACCAGAATATTAAGGGGAAAAGGGTGTGGAAGAGCAGGGGAAAATAGTGGTGGGGAAGGAAGGATCTGATTGGGGGTGTAAGCTCTCTCAGCAGCCACTCTGCTCACATGTCTCTATCCCACCTCCTGCCCCGCCTTCCTTTTCTCACCTTCTTTCCTTCGGAACTCCCTCTCTTCCAATTCTGCCCATCTTCTTCCCTCATTTCCTCCCCTGTCCTCAGATTCTGGGCCCCTTTCCCTCAGGTAGCAGAGCAGTAGTTCAGGGGCCTGGAGAAGGGGGGGGGGTCAGACTATGACGGGGTCCTCGCCTCCTGCTAGTTGGACAAAGGGGTGTCTGTTGGCCTAACAATGATGCCTTTGTCCCCATCTGGGCTGGAGCACGGTGGCTGCTCCATGTGAGTTGGGGGCCCTGTTTCCAGCATGTTCTCTCCTCCTCTCCGCACCTGGGCAGGGACAGAGGGACTGAAGAGGAGAGGGTAGAGTTTATGCCGGCTGCCCAAGGTGCCTCAGCCCCCAGACCTGGCTCTGCGCCGCCCCCCCCACCCGACTCTTCCCTGCCACAATGCCTGAGGCCATCAGGATCTGCCCTAAGCCCTCCTCCCGCTCAGCAGCTCCCTCTGCTGGGCACCCAGGGCATGGCCAGGGCCTGAACTTGACCCTTTTGACCCTAGATAACCACAGCAGGAAAGGGTTCTGGGGGTGGGGGTGGGGTCATCATAGATAACAACTTCTTGTCTTCTTGAAGGAAATAAAGGAAGAAGTGCCATTTCAACCCAGTAAGAACTTCTCCTAAGAGGAGGAGATTCCATATTGTTGCAGCGTTAGATAGTCCTTTCCGAAGTCTGACCTCAGTGACTTCCATTCCTGTTTAAGCTGCTTTCTGCTTGAAATAGCTGCACTGCAACCTTACAAGGAGCTTCGAATGATTTTTAGCACTTTTCTGTTCCTCTGTTATCTTACTGTGTCTTTCAGAAGGACCCAGCTTGGTCCTGAGAGAGAACTGGTTTCTCTTCTTCAGCCTGTCTCCAAAACCTCTGTGTCTTTTCTTGCAGGGCCTAAATGCTCCAAGTGAGCCATCGTTTGAGCCCCCAGCCCCAGCCCCATACCCTGGGCCCCCGCCACCCCCAACTTACTGCCCCTGCTCAATCCACCCAGATGCTGGCTTCCCCCTTCCTCCACCATCTTATGAGCTTCCAGCACCTACATCTCATGTCCCAGACCCTTCATACTCCTATGGCAACATGGCCATACCAGTCTCCAAGGCACTGACCCTCTCGGGCCTGCTCAGTGAGCCCCTCCCAGATCCCTTGGCTCTCCTGGACATTGGGCTGCCAGCGGGGCCCCCCAAGCCCCAAGAAGACCCAGAATCTGACTCAGGATTATCCCTCAACTATAGTGACGCTGAATCTCTTGAGCTGGAGGGGACAGAGGTTGGTCGGCGGCGCAGCGAGTATGTAGAGATGTACCCAGTGGAGTACCCCTATTCACTTATGCCCAACTCCTTGGCCCACCCCAACTATGCCTTGCCGCCTGCAGAGACCCCCTTAGTCTTAGAACCCTCTTCAGGCCCTGTGCGGGCCAAGTCCACTGCACGGGGGGAGGCGGGAAGTCGGGATGAGCGTCGGGCCCTGGCCATGAAGATTCCCTTCCCAACGGACAAGATTGTCAACTTGCCGGTAGATGACTTTAATGAGCTGTTGGCGCGGTACCCACTGACGGAGAGCCAGCTGGCATTAGTCCGGGACATCCGACGGCGGGGCAAGAACAAGGTGGCCGCCCAGAACTGTCGAAAGAGAAAGTTGGAGACCATTGTGCAGTTGGAGCGGGAACTGGAGCGGCTGGGCAGCGAGCGGGAACGGCTTCTCCGGGCCAGAGGGGAGGCTGACCGGACCCTGGAGGTCATGCGCCAACAGTTGACAGAGCTGTACTGTGACATTTTCCAGCACCTGCGGGATGAAGCAGGCAACAGCTATTCCCCTGAAGAGTATGCTCTGCAACAGGCTGCTGATGGAGCCATCTTCCTGGTGCCCCGGGGGACCAAGATGGAGGCCACAGACTAAGCTGGACCAGAGGGGTGGGACTGGTGATGGAGATTTCCTTTATTCCCTTCTGATAAAGGTACTCCCCAGAAGCAGCTGGGTACTCTAGACCAGAAGGGGACAATGGGAAACCTGGCATTTGGAGGGTCCAAGGTATATTCAGTAAGGCTTGCCTTAAGACAAGTGTATGAGGGGAGGGCTGGAATCTCTTTTCCGTGATTCAGCTTCCTAGGTCTCCAACCTCCACCTCTTGTTTGAGCTTTGGTATATAAAGCACTCTACACAAATACCCTTCCACTGTGTCTTCCTTCTCAAGAGAGGGTGTTGAAGCCGAGTACTTAGAGTTCAGTGCTTGTTAGTGGTGGGGAGGGAATCCTGCCAAGCTCATTTCTTTCTCCGGCAGCTCTGTATGAGAGAGGTATGCAAAAAATTTGGGCTTGAGCTGTGTGATCTATCACCTTCATCTCCTTTTTCAGAGTCAGAGGTCATGGATGATCTGAGGAATCCCACCCTCCCTGGGGGCCCACTATTTATAGAGTGGGCATTGCTGCCACCGCTGGCTACACCCTCTGTGCAAGGTCCCTGAGGTTCAGACCTCTCCTTTCTCTTTGGAGCACAGAGAAGTCTAGAATGCCCATAGCCTTTTTTCTGTTCTCTCCCTCCTGCCTACTTCTATTGTACTTCCTCATCCTGATATGCCTGAGCTCTCAGAAGTCTGAGATGCTCTTGATTGGAGAGAATTTGATTGGACATCATAGTTTCAAGGGACTTCATACAGAAGTCTGGGCAAAACCTGCTCCCGAGGTTATGCCTTTTGGTGAACTTTTCTGTCTCCTTGGTTACGTTAGACACACTATCCAATCCTCATTTTGGGGCCTCCCTTTTCTAGATTCTCAAAGACCTAGGGTCTCTTATTTTCTTCCTTAAGCAGAACACGAAGTTCTAGAATCCTTTATCACATCGAAGTCTCAAACTTCTCTCACACATCTCCTTGGATAGAGTTGGGTGGTTCCTATCTTCAGTCACTGGATTACACCAATTACCTCTTTGGGGTATTTTACTTCTATTTATACTTCTATTCAACTTTAGTAGCTCCATTCCAACAAGGAAAACATACTCTTACTTTCAAGTTCTGATAGACACTCAGTTGTGAGACATGAAAAGCAATGATCAAAGGTAGTCTTCATGCTTACAGATTCTCAGAAACGTGGTCTCTAGGCTAGGTTAGGGAACGAAAGCAATTTAAGGCTTCTGATTCCTAATCTGTGAACAGTTCATCTTGGGAACTTTCTCAAAAAAGAAAATGCAGGATCAAGTTGCAAAGGGCAGTGCCTGGGATTAGCTGTTCAGCAACTTGATTAGTTCACCTAAAGGACATCAGGCAGTTTTTCACTTTTAGCCAAGCTCCCAAAAGTGGTAATGCAAATTTAGACATTTATCCAACACTTGAGCACCCAGGTTCTAGTATTGTTCTAGGCACTGGAGGTAAAAATGGGGAGAAATGCCCCCCTCCTGAAAATCTATTGTAATACATTACTTGGTGTGTACCTAACTAAAGCAAAAGGTGGAACAGCTTTGGAGCATGATTTCGATTCTGTTCGATTCAAAAACAGGTAATCATCTAAAGTTATGTAGATCTTCATCTACAAAGTTATGTAGCTTAACTAGCAACCTTGTATTTGTAAAGCATGCTGTGAAGTATATAGAATGTGATAGAAGCATGTCATTTTCTTCAATAGCAGTATTTAACATCCTATGGCCTGTTGTCCTGTCCTAAGCCAGGATTGTGAGAGAAACCTGTTCTAGTAACTCCAAGCCACAAATGATTCTTGGCAATTAAGACTGCCTATACATTTACACTTCTCTACCCCTTTTACTAGGTTGAAAATTGAGGCTGAATCTTTTCTTAAAGATGGGAAGTTTAAGCATTTGCTAGGGGGTTAATTATTGCCCCCAAATTTTTGGGTCACTTTTGAAAAACTTGATCTTCCCCTCCATATTCATCTTAACCTGGTTCCAGATTTTTTGGAAGCCAGAAATAGCTGGCAATAAATACTTGCGGAACAATTGTAAACAGCTTATTTCTAAGTGGTGGGCCAAGATTTATTCCGGCAGCAAGGGCCAGTTTGATTTCACTAAACCATGTTGCTGATGGGCTAACTTTTACATATTAATACATGGTATTAGAACCACTTGTATTCCAAAAAGCTAAATATCGTTTTTTAGTTTGTGGAAGGGTGGGGTGGAAAGAACCACTCCCAACAACCTGATTTTAAGATGTTAAATGTTGTCCCACCTTTAACATACCGAAGGTCTAACTTGTTCCTTTAGAAGGATCCAAGGAAGCATGAGTAAGGAATGAAAAGGGAAAGACTTTCAACTCTGCTAAAAAGTTCTGATTTACCATTATCATGAAAGGGGAAAAAAAAAAAACCAAAACGAAGTTAAAAGCATTTTATTAAAAAAAGTCCATTCATAAAACTGAATAATTCAAGCTGCAAAGCAGCTAACAACTGCATGGCAGTGAAAATGAGGTGCAGTGGCTCAGATAAAGGTTGTCCTCATTAAGGATGTTGCTGCAAGAAAGAAAAAAAAAGTTATCAAGTGTTTTACATAAGCACTTCAAAGATTCTACAATTATACTCGTTTTGTTTACTGGGAACCCAGTTGCTTTAAAACATTTTGCTGGCTAAGATAGACTATCTCATTTTTTTTGGTTCTCAGGCACAGCTTGCCATTCTCTAAAGCACTCTTGCCGATCATAAAGTTCATAAAAAGCTTACCTTTTAGCCATAAATTTGGACAGATGAGTTTCTGATTTTTTTGTTTTTGTTTTTGTTTTTTTTTTTAAAGAGAGTTGATTAGCCTGGAGTAGCAGACTCCTCCCTAGAAAAGTAAACAACCTTTAGAACTAGCTTTTCTGAGACCAAGTCCCAGCTCAGGGTAAATCCCCCACCCCCCAAAATTAATGATCCACCCTTCCCTCCCGCCATGTTTTGGGGAAGATTCTAATGCATTACTTTGAGCCATTGTTTTAAGGAAATGGGTTAAAGGAAGGTAGCAAATAAAATTAAAGGGCAAAAATATATTGCCACAGTAGAATTAGTGTTCACTTCATTTGGGAGCCAAGTCTAGGGTGTCAATTTAAAACAATTGATCTCCAAAATAACAAAGTTCAGCTTAACTGGACTAGTTTTGGCTCAATATAATTAAGGAAAATATAACAAAACTGGATTTTAGAGAACACTATATGGATGTAAGTAAAATCTGTTCTTACCTACCAGCATAGCAATAAAACCTTTCCTCCTGGTTCTGACTGCTAGTCCTAAGAGTCAGGTGTGCCTTACTCTTGTCTGCCTCCTTTCTTGCGATGGTCACTGAAACTTCACTCCCTCCTAGCTTTCATGGAGCGTGCCGTGGCCTGCCCCTGGCTTATCTGTACTCCACATACCACAAGTGTCTACTCTCAGCTGTAGAGTGTCTGAGCTCGGAGCCATTCGCGCTATACTTGCTAGCAGTTCCTAGTAGCTGAACATCTCTCCTGGATCTTTAAAGGCATTGTCACGAATCCTGAGGTATCTGCAAACTCCCTCAATAGTTAAGGTTCCACCTGCCATTGCAAACTCAGCCAATATCAAACTCATGGAACTATCAACCATGCTTTCCCACCCACCTCCCCCCCACTCCCCGCCCACCCTCCTCCCCAAACTTCCAAGTAACACACCCATGGGATGGAATACACAGTCCTAGTGATAAACAATTTTCTATGCTACCAGGTACAATGGCACTGAAATTGAGGGTACCAAAGGGAGGGCTCAAGAACCTATGTAACAAATAACAATGATTGGATATTAAGTAACTATAAAAAAGGCTTTAAAGAAATCATTTTCTATACAATTAACAAATTTAAGATGGTTGTGTGATGTACCATATTTAAAGGAAAACTGCAGTTAACATGAATTTAATAAGGTTCCTCACCATCTCCATAATTTTAATGTCCAAACAGATTCAATAGTATGGTTAATCTATAAACCTCTACTGGGACCCACCCCCCAGAACAAAGTAAAACTGCCGTTTTCCTTTAATGTAAGCCTGTTTTTGTATTAGAAATAAGATATTCTTACTGGTGCTGGTCAGTTTAAAAAGGTCTCCCAAACACTTCTAATCTGTGCACTTATGGGGTGGCATTAGCCAGCAGCTGGTTTCTATTCTCTGGCAGAGTTTTGAACTTGAATCGTGATAGAAGCATTCAACATTATGAGGGGTAGTGGGTAGGGAAGTCCAAAGCTCTGCCAGTCCCAAATCCATACAGTTGTCATTCCATTCAAGAGAATATTAAATCGTTTATTGATTACACATGATAATGGATGATACACAAGCTTTAATCCCATCTATAATTTTATCTGATACCATAGTTCAATTTAGATATATTGCATAGGATGTGCCAACAATCATATTAATAACCAAATAAACTCCAGGACTTTGCTTGGGTGACCCTTTTAATGGTGAACTCCAGGTCACAACACATTAACTGTCAGTTCAACTACACCAAGGTTTGTGGAGACAATGGCTTCTGTGCCCAAGCAGGTTGCAAATCAATTTCGAATGGAACCTGGCATCACCCTGAAGGAATTCTAACTTCACACTGTTGGGGTAGTATACCAAGATGGCTTCAGAGTAGACTAACTTTACACAGCACATTTAAAAAAAGACACATTTATTCAGCGTCATGATCAGACTATTACATTTAGCAATCAACAGCATGGGTGCAAAAAAAAAAAATCTACATTAAAACCCTTTGTTGGAATGCTTTACACTTTCCACAGAACAGAAACTAAAATAACCTGTTATACAATTAGTCACAAATACAGTCCTCGAGTTTTTTGCCCATACACATGAGTATTGTCTAAAACATGTCTTCTTTGTAGCAGCTAGGCCCTGCCACCACTGTGCTTGGCTGAGTTCACAAATCTGTTGTAACCTGTAGCTTCCCTGTCACTTCTCTGGCTCTCCTCTCCTGCTAAGCTTTGTTTCCTGTTGAACAATATGGAATAAAGTTGTTAATCTAAACATATTAAGACTCAAAGCTACAATCCAATAGCAAGTTTTGTTTCCCACAAATTTTGCTGATCTGAATATTAACTTAATATCCAAAATTTTACTGCAATTATAATGTTAACTATGTTGCACTGCTCAGCTACATTAGGGTTACTGGGTTATCATTTACAAAAATTAACTTAAAACATAAAAAGGTGTTTACTTACCTGGCAGTAATTAAAACCTTCTGCCACTGCCATAGCTACTGCTGCTGCTGGAACCACCATAGCCACCTAAGAATAGAATTTGTTCCTTTGAAGCTTTGGAAATGCCAACAGTAAGACTTTCTATACGGAGGGGCAATGTTAAGTTCAAATTTTCTAGAGTTTGAGCTCACATGACTTTCCCAATTTGACTGCAAATTACCCGGTCACTTAAGTTTCCTAAAAGCTTTAAATCGTCAGCATTTCACTATCTATACAAACATTACCTAAAAATTAATGTATTTTTTACTGGGACTAGCTATAACTACCCAACATTTCAACAGTGCATATATACAATACCTTGGTTTCGTGGTTTGGCAAAGTATTGGCCTCCACCACCATAGGGGCCAGAGCTCCTGCCTCCAAAATTTCCTCCTTTCATGGGTCCAAAATTTGAGGATTGATTGTTGTAATTGCCAAAATCATTATAGCTTCCGCCACCTCCAAAGTTGCTTCCTAAGAATGGAAAGAGAACCTTTATCTGTTACTCAAAGATGGTAGTTCTGAATTCTATTTAGTGCTCAGACCAAAAAAACAAACAACAACACAACACAAAACACAAAACTGCATGTTCTGCTTGCCTTCCTCCCAAACTCTGGTAGCTCTAAAGTTTGATGAACTATTTCATCCTTTTCTGGGCAAGGCACTGAGATGAATAATCCAGTACTTTAAGAGACTTATCCAATGTACCATGGCATAACATATTGTCTAGCCTTGAAGGCCTCTACCCATCCAGGGCACTGCAAACACATGCTGGATATATCCACCAAGTGCCTAAGATCCAAAGAAGTTAAGATACTAAATCCTGCTGGAAACTAATCTAATTCTGATTAAAGACACCGCTATCCACTTATCCATCTATCTAATTTGGGAGTGAGGCGGCCCCAGCTTAAAGCTAGGAGGAGGTAGCATTAGCAAGCCCATTAAAAAAGAATACCATGCATTGTACCACATAATGCTTTTAAGAGCATCAAATCCCCTTGTGGGCATAAACTCTAAAGGGCTAATCTAGCTGTTGCACCAAGTACTTGGATCACTGGATACCTACCACTACCACCGCCATAGCCGCCTCCGCCTCCTCCGTTGTTATAGCTGTCATAGCTGCCACTCCCGCCATAGCCACTGCCCTGGTTTCCATAACCCTGTCCACCACTTCCATAGCCTCTGCTTCCTCCAGAGTAACCAGGGCCGCCTCCTCCATAACCACCTACAAGAATACAATTCTTCTCAATAAGACAAAAGTATTCAACAATCAAAACCTCTGCAAGCGTAAGGCCTAAAAGCCTGCACACAGCATGCTGTTATCAGATCTGAGCTTGTCATGCACTAGTTTACTAACCTCGTCTAAAAGTTGCCAAAAGAAATTTCACCTCTCAACTCCTTAAACTTACCATCATTACCAAATCCGTTATAGCCATCCCCACTGCCACCATATCCACCACCACCTCGACTGCCACCAAAGCCACCTGGAAGAGAGAATTTTATACTTTTTGAAATATATAGATTATACATAATTTTTACCCTTCTAAATCTTTTAAAAATTGCCGCGTTACAAAAATTGTTTTTATACTCAAGATTTAACCTGGTTAGTGAGAAAGCCAGAACTACATTTGGATAAAATTTAACTTTGGAAAGGTTGGCCAGTAGCTGCATCTACTACAGGTTGCAAAGAGGACAACTCATCTGCGGATAATCAAACTACAAGCCTACTATTCTTAGTGGTAAACTATAACCACACATACCTCGACCACTGAAGTTCCCTCCACG